TAATAAAGATAAATAATAGCTCATAATCAACACAAAAAAAAAATTTATATAAAAAATATAGAACACATACTTTTTTTATAATAATCAAATTTATTAATACATTTTCTGCAAACATTTGCATCATGTTGATCCTTTGATATTTCCAAGTCTGGTGAAATATTGCTATAAAACCAATTAACAAATACATTGTCTAACTTTATCTTTTGTTTTCTAGCTGCAACCATATCAAGTGATTTATGACGGAAATCAATTTTATATTCACTGCTCTTTCGTTGCCATTTCAGTTCCTTAGAAGGACAAATACAGTTTTTGCCATATACTTCCATGCATATTAAACAAGTTAAGCATAAAAGGCAAGCATTTGGACGATATTATAAAGGGTTTATTTATGCCATTTTTATAAACAATATACAATAGCGTTAGAGAAAAAAATTTTAAAATAAATAAAATGATAAGTATTTAAAATTAGTGTTACATGTCACAAATTAAGAAATTGTATTGTTTAGTATTACATATCACGAATTATTATTTATTGTTTACATCATTACACATGTGACACATAGAAAATTAATTCAGGTCTGAATTACAGATTTTGGCCAGAGTTACTGCTGATCATTTATAATCTTGTGCGTATGACTGCGTATGAAAAAATTTATCTCTGAAACAAAAATAAACTGAGTGGTCCAGAAATTATAAGAATAGCTGTAATGTCGAAAATAAGAGTATCATATAAAATTTAAAATTTATTATTCATTAATCCTAATTCTTTTTTTTTTTACATCTTTTTCCATAAGGATTTCAACACATACAGGCGCGAATTTTATTAGCTTTAAGACCATATCTTTTGGTTAATATTAGATAAGTTTCATCAGAAAAAAACTTGTTCTTCTGAAATACTTGTTGCTTTATAAAAAAAATGTATTAATTAATGTTTAATAATCGATAATTTTTTTGTTTTACCTGTAATTGCAAGGTAATCATTAGCCAATATGGCTAATTTGTCCTCATATGCTCTACTGTAATAATACCAGTATAAATTCTCTTTTTTTTAGTTGTCATTACTGTATTAAATAATCTACTTTAATCTGAGGTAGAACTTCATTAAACTCTATCAATATTGATTCAGAAATTTGCTATATCTTGTATAGGGAATACTTTCCTTAGAACAAACATATAACTCATACATTATACCTTGTTATACTTATTGATTATAGGTATTTATCTTAAAACTTTATGTCTAATCACTAAACATTTTCTTAAAAAATAAAAACTTAAAATAATTAGACAGAAGGTCTAAAGGATACAAATAAAAAAAATATATTTAAAGAAATATAAATAAATAAAACTAAGAATATTGATAATAATATGTTTTACTTTCTTACTTTCATTATTTAAATAATCAAAATTAGTAAATTCAAAAGTAATTGATCTAAATCTTAATTAATATCATTATTGCAACTAATTATAAAGATGAATAAAGATAAAAAAAATATAATAAAGAATTATAGAAAAACAATAAATAAAAAAGCAGAAATATAATATTACTATAGAATATTAGAAGAAATACAAATAAAGAATAATAACAATGAGAAAAAATATATTTAATAAAAAATGAAAAAATATATGACAATAAAAATTTATTAAGAGAAAAATAAATAAAGATTTATGAAAAAATATATTAAAAAATATTTTAACACATTATTAAATATAACTTAAGAAATAAATATTAAAGAAGAATAAAAGTAATAATAATTATATAGATTCTTAAACAAAAAAATTAATTTGTAAAACAAATTCTTTTAATAATTAATAACAATAATATATTAAGAAAATATAAGCTTTATTGAAGCTATTGAACTCATAAATTATCAATAATTTGTAAAAATTTAGTATGAGTAATTATAAATGTAAATTTTATTAAAAAAATTTATTTAAGCTAATATATCAAATTTTTGTAATAGATAAATATTTTAATAAGATAATAAACATATTTAATTCTATTATATCTATTTTTATTTAAATTATAAAAACATTATTATCTAATTAAATTTTTAAAATAATTAAATAAAGAAATTTTATATTTTGATTTTGATTTATTTTAGTTAAATTATAATTATTAATATTAAATAAATAAATATAAAGTTTATTTAATTTATATTATAAATATAAAATTGTAATAAAATAGAATTATAACTTTATTCTATTTTTTTAAAATATATATGAATTTTATAAATTTAATAAATTATTTAATAAAGAAAAAAAAGAATATAGGTCATGGACTAGCAAAATGTACCTCCGAAAAAATCTTACTTTTTTGAGAAAATTACAGATCAATATAAAATTACCTTATTATTTAATCTTTGAATTTTAGTTTATTTTTAGCATAAAATGCAGTATATCGATCAATTTCAAAATTGTTTATTTGTCAGACACAATAA